ACAAATACCTCATCTCCATAATAACATTGTACTTGGTGTTCCAGCATGATGAATGAATACGCTATGACTGAAGACTAAACAGAGGCTAATGGTAAATGAATTAATTAGCAACCTGTTTACACTTCTCCTGGGAAGAATGGCCATTTGTTACAGCTGCTCTCATGCAAAAATACTGACTGAGTTTGGGTCTGCACTCTGGGAATGCATATAAATTTGTGAGATTCTCCCACATTACCATTTGCTGACAGTCATTAATGACACTGATGAAGACAGGAGACCTTGACTCAAACACACAAATGATTAGGGTTGATAACAGATATGTGAACAGGGCCCTCATTAATGAATTTATTAATAATGCAGGGATGGAAGTTAAAAACATGGTGTCTAGACATGTATTTATAGCACCTCCACCTCCTTCAATCAAAGGTAATTCTTCTATCTCTTTGATTTATCCTCTTTTTAGTTATGTACCTAAGAAAGCAGAATAATCATGTTCTGGTAAGAGAAATCCAGAGAAAAGAGAATATATCCACCACTATTCAGTTAGCGACAATTATGAATGAGAATATTTCATGAAATCAAAAGATCAACAGCTCTTGTCTTAGGAAATATATGGTGATGGATGCAAATTAGAGGGTTTATTCAGATCAGAATGAGCATTTACTAAACATGCCCAACCCTAGTTGAAGTCTTCTAGTTTAGAAAAGTTATTATTTCTTCTAATTTAGAAAAATTATTATTACCAACTTGCCTCCCACATCATTGATTTCTTAAGTAACTATATCCTTGACAAATGTTTACATCTTAGTGAGGGAAATGGTATGTGTTGACAATATCTCTGTTAACAATTTACACTTTCATTACCTTTTCCTATCATGATTAAATTGCCCCATCCTTCTATTTCTGATCAAGAGAGGAGAACAGAATGCTAAGGTTTGCATAGGGTCATGCCTTGTAGTCATTCAACTGTTTTCACTGGTTTGACCAACTTGTAGACAGGTTTTATTGAAGATATAACTCAATAGAGAATTCCAAAACAACTAGTTGGGACAAGAAATTCAAAAAAAAACAACTGGGTTGTCTATTGTAGGAAGAAATAAACAAAACCAGACATATTATTAAATTAGTCTTTTACTAATAACTTTACTGAAGAGACCCATCACTTCAAGCAAAGTGCTCAGACCAGGGGCCCTGAGTAGGTATAATCGTATTAAATAGTGAAGGATATATCAGTTCTATCAAGCTGCATTATCAACCTGAGAATTCCAATGATTAAATTGTGGATGTAGCTCTGTGTTCTGAGGCATAAGACAGATAAGGAGGTCTCTGCCATCTTGTAGGTGAAAACTTATTCTCTTAAAACTTTAAAAACTCTGTAATGCCACATAAGGGTCCCAGAGTGAAGGCAGAGAGATAGCATTTTTTAAGATAGTGATTACCCAGTTAGGCTGTTAGGGTTTTTTTAGGACCCTGTTTTAATAGGACTCCAGTTTGAATTAAAAGTAAAATGGAGCTGTAACACACAAGAGGCCTACTACTAGCCCTGAGTTTGGTCTCGAGCTAACAGACAGATGGCTTCCTATTGCCTCTCAGATGGCTTTATATGTCATAAGCAGGTTGATTATTTCATTCTGCTAAGAATCTGTATGCTCTGATGGCCGTCCCCCAGAGAACATTCAGGACATGGATAGTTTCGAGCTGCCTCTTGCTGCTTTGTGTTACAGATCCTTACTTTTAAATCATAATTGGGACTCTCTCCGCCCAGGGTCCTGTTGTCTCCGGGCCCAGTCATAAGTCAGCAGGTGTCATCTAGGGTTTTGCTACAGAACTGGTCCTCAGAACCAGGAGATCCACTTTAGCAGATCACCAAGGCTGCAGGGCAAAGCTGATGCTGTGAGCAAAAGGTATTAAGGTACATCTCTAATTGCCAAGGTGCTTGGCATCACCAGAAACAAACTGGTCCTATCTTCAAGAATCACTAAGCAGCTAGTTGGCAGTGGGACAGTTCAGTCCACACAGACACACTGGATATGCATTGCAAACCAAGTTTATTCACTTATTTATTCCTTCATTAATATAATGAATATTTATTGAGTATCTATTATTTGCCAGGCATTGCACTGACCCCTAGGGATACAGTAGTGAATGAGACAGACACAGTTTCTGACCTCACAGGACTTATTTTGTTTGAGCTAGGGGCAGTATACTGCAGAGGTTAAGGAATCTGCATCCAGACTGCCTACGGTGTAAATCCTGGCTCTTCTACCAACTAGCTTTGTGACCTTGGTAGATCCCCTCTCTGTGCACCTTGTTTTCCTCATCTGGAAAACTGTGATAAAACCAGTACCTAACTCACTGAGTTGGTAAGAGAATTACATGGGTTAATGCATGTTAAAAACCTAAGGTCTGTCTCATAGTGAGCACTACATAAGTATCAGATGTTCTTTGAACTATGTTCTCTAGTGTCTGTTGATCATCCTGGAAACAACAGTCTAAAATCCATAATTTATTGCTTCCAAGGTATAGAATGCCTCCTCTTAGCCCTCACAACAAGGACTCTCTCCTACTTCTGAGGTAAAAGGGCCAGTATGACTTTAAGACCTACTACCATTAAACTCCTAATGCAAATCTCTGCCATCCCTTGGCCTCAATTATCTCATCTGTAAATGAGAGCTTATAACTAGATGATCTGGTACTTGTGATTAAGAACACTGGGTTTGAATACTGGTTTTACCACTTACAAGCTCTATGATCTTGAGCAAGTTAGCCTTAAGAGCTTTTCTTTGTCTTGGTGTTCTGCAATTTTACCATGGATGTCTAGAAAGCAGATTTATTTTTATTCACCCCACCCACGATTCATGCCTCTTTAATCTGAGGACTTAACATCATTCATCAATTCTGGAAAAATCTCAATTATTATCTCTTTAAAAATTGCCTCTCCCCCATTCTCACTAGTCCTTCCTCTTGGAGCTCATTTTAGATATATGCTGTGCCTTTTAAATCTATCCTTCATATCTCTTAACTTCTTTTTAAAGTCCTCAAATAGTGGTTAAAACACAAGGCGAAACTATGAAAATGTATGCTCTCAGTAACTTGGATTTTAAAACCCTATCAATTAACCTAGTCAAAGAGAGAATTCAAACAACTAGTTTGGCTAATTTTTTTAACTTTACTAGTCATGTGAGTGAACTACTTTTAATACCCTAAAGATGGCCATAAAGAAAATGGACCCAGAAAGGATTCCAAAGTTATTCTCAGATCAAAAACTCACTCATTTTGAAATTGGGTACCAACAGAGGTGAGGCTTAGAACCTCACCCCGCCTGTTTTGAGAGAAATCTTCTGCATCCGTGGATGTTTTGTTGCCCTTGTCTAGCTTGGATTAATACTCAGTCTATAGGCACACACCTGATCATCTACATTTGCCCTCTTACCAGCACTGAATTATGTTTTCTACCTTTATCTTGCATCTACCTACCACTTCAGCATTTCATTTTTAAAAAAAGGGAGAAATGTGGGATTCACATATAAATCAAGTAAAAAAGCAAATGAATAATAAAATTTTTAAAAACTCACTCATTTTGGAAGAGGACATGAAAATTGTAATCTGAATGGAGATGCTTTCAACAATAATTACTTATCTCCCATGTTCTAAGTTAGAAAAAAATTGCTATGACATTTAAAAACAATCTTATGCTATTGTCACATAGTACAAAGGAAGAAGACCAAGATAGTATTTTCCCCATTAATTATTTGCTTCTAAAATGGAGAAAAAACTAAAAATATTTTACAGGTGTCAAATTTTAATACAAAGGACTTCCTTTAAAAAAGTATTACATAAATACAAAAAGTATTGCTTTCTTTCCTGTAACGTGCCTAGAACAGTACATGATTCTGAAGCTGTAAAAGAAAAAAAAAAGACACGTTCCCTGTCCTTACTGTAATTTGTAGTCTCATTGGAAAAACACAAGCTAACCACAGGAAGGAGGGAAGAACAGATGGAGAAAACTTCCATTTAGTATCTGCTTTGTGCTGGGCATGTTCGCATCTAATCCTCACCACAGTCTTACAAGATGTGGTGTTCATTCATTCATTCATTCATTCACTCATTTAAATGATGTAGCTACGCCCAAGGTCAAACCACCAGCAAAAGAACAAGTTCAGATTCAAATTTAGGTTGGATGCCAGAGTCATTATTCCCACTATTATCACACTGCCAAGTGATTCATTAAATCATCCAGATTTAGTGAGGAGTACTGACAAGAGAGGCAGTGCAGCACATGGTTGAATTCATGGAATTGAGAGTTACACCAACCTGAGTTCAAATACCAGCTATGTGACTTTGGACGAGCTATTTAACCTTCCTGAGCCTCTTATCTGTAAGATAGATAGAGTAATAATACCTACCCATGGTGTTGTGATGTTCAAATGAAATAATGTACATAAAAGATTTCATGTAATATTTGCCACAGTAAACAATAAGGAGCAAGTATTATTAGTGCAACACTGATTTTTAAAATTAATTTTTTAAACCCCAAAGTAACTTTTCTGCTTCTGCATCTGAGGGAGGAGGCCCCTTTCATACCAGTAGGGATATATTCCCTTCCCTTCACACAGACTGGTCAGAAAGGAGAAGAAAAATACATTTCATAGCCACTGCCAGTCCTTTTATGCTGCTAAAGTAAGGGACTCTGGAAAAAAATGGATTACTACACATAAAAGATATTTTGGATATGCAAAGGGAAGCCCTGGGCAACAAGGGGTGGAAAGCCAAATTGTTCTTCCTTAACATGGCAATATAAAACTTCATCGACCCAAATCTTGAACTGATGTCTGTATAACGTAAATAAGAATTATGGGAGCTCAAAGAGGGCAGATAAGATGAGAGGTCATCTGTGACATGTCACTCCACTGATCACCAGGTTTCATTCAGCTCATTTGGCTGCATAAGGAGGAACCCCCTTCTTCTCCTCTCTTGGTTTGCACCTAGTTGGCGGCAACATGGCTGCACGTGCTAAGAAAGTCAGAATCGTCGGTAAATACAGAACCCACTATGATGCCTCCCTCAGGAAAATGGTGAAGAAAATTGAAATAAGCCAGCATGCCAAATACACTTGCCCCTTTTGCAGCAAAACCAAGATGCAGAGACAAGCTGTGGGGATCTGGCACTGCAGTTCCTACATGAACACAGTAGTTGGAGGTGCCTGGCCCTGTACCACCATTCCTGCTGCCCCAGTAAAGTCGCCCATCAGAAGGCTGAAGGAATTGAGAGACAAGCAGAGGTGCCACCATGTGAAGCATTATAGACAATAATAAATGGGTTAATTTATGTAACAAAAACAGAGAGAGACAGAGAAAAACCTCCTTCCTTCTTCATTGCTTCCTGGACCTTGCTTTCAAACATTCCCAGATAATGAAGGCTCATGTTTCCTTCTGTCGGGGCAGCAAGAAGCTGAACCTCCCTGCTGGAACCACAGAACAAGGTGTTGAAAAGGCACTAGAATAATCAGAGAGAATTGTCTAAAGGGTTTTGGCTGGACGTGACAGGGTCAATCAGATTCAATGCACAGTGGGAAATGGGAAAGAAAGATTCTAGGAAGAAAGATGGAACTAGAAATAATACCTCAATGAGCCCAGAAAAGAACTCTGCCTGGGAAAACAAAGGGCACTAACCTTTGCCTCTCCAATAAATTATCAATGTGGTCCTAGTCTTCTTATGACTTCTACACAGATGGAAAAGGCAGCTAATGTCCAAGCAGCTCTCCTGGGGTTGGGCAAGGAAAGTGAGGACAGGACTGGAATAAAAAGGGACACCTCTCTCCAAATGTAGGCCCTTCAAAGAGCTCTCATACCAGGTCACAAGCTGGACTCTAACAGTTATTTTAACCACTGCTTTCCCCTCAAGCCAACATTTGACTTTTACTGGGTGGCCTTACTGGGTTGCCATTGAGAGATAATCTTTCAACTGTAATAAGAGGGAAGTATCTCCTGTCATATTTACTGAATCTGTTATTGTTAAGTTTGGCTGCCTATAACAACAAAAAATAGTTAACAAAGTGTCTTAATGAAGACAGAAGCTTATTTCTCCCTATGAAGAGATGTCTGGAGACAGGCAGTCCAGGACTGTTGTGGCACCTTCACAGCCAACAGGGGCCCAGGCTCTTTCTTGCTGTTTCATCATCCTTAGCTTCTTGCCTCCTATTCTGAGACGGCTGTTCAAACTCCAAGTACATTTCAGCTATGATGAAGTAGGAAGGAGCAGAAGGGCTTGCCTCTTCCTCTAACAACACCCCTAGATATTTCACACAACACTTCCACTTGCATCTTGTTGGCCAAAATAACAATAAAAATAATAGCTAGTATTTCTAGAGTGTCTACTATGTGTGAGGCACTGTTCTAAAGGTTTTACAAATATAAACTCATTTATTCATCATAGAAACTCAATATAGTAGGTAATTATGATATCATTTTACAGATGCAGAAACTGAGGCACAGAGGGGTAAATTAAAGTTAGTCAGAGATTAAACAGATTTGAACCCTACATAGCCTGACTTCAGAATCTGTGTGCCCTAAACACAGTGCTACACTGCCAAAACAAGCTAGGCCTCTCCTAGCTCCATGGAGGACTAGCAGTCTTCTTATGGATACCAATTACTTCAGTAAAATATTGAGGGTTTTTACTGGAGAAGAAAGGAGAAACTTAAAGAAAGCAATAGCCTCTGCCATACCTACATCAAAGATTCAAGATAGTGTCTCTAAAAGCTCTTTGAAATACAGTTAAAAGCAGTATACATATAATGCAGGTAGAGCAAGTTGCCCTGTCAATCCCCAGAGAGTATTATGGGAATTATGGGATGTTTTCTCTGAATCAGGCTAGGAAAACACTGACAAGCACCATTGTTTTGTCTCTCCAATATAAAAATGTGAAAGTGATACAGCAGTGTTTGGCAGGGATCCCTGGGAAAGTCCCCTTTAAAGAGAATGTAGGCACTTCCAAACAAAACTCATGTCATAATAAACTTTTTCATCACCAGACTGTTCCCTAGAGTAGTTAAACCCTATAGGTCTCAGACATAAAGCTGATAAAACCTGACTGCATGAAAGCAGTTTGAATTCAGACACTGCATCAATACATAATACATATATATATATATATATATTAAGGCATTTATTTTAAGGAATTGGCTGACATGACTATGGAGGCTGGCGAATCCAAAATTTATAGGGCAGGCCAGCAAGCTGGAAACTCAGACAGAATTTCTATATTATAGTCTTAAGGAAGGATTCCTTCCTCTCCAGGAAACCTTCATTTTTGCTCTTAAGGCTTTCAGCTGATTGGATGAGGCCCACCTACAGTATGAAGGGTAATATATTTTAGTTAAAGGCAACTGATTGTAGCTATTAATCACATCTACAAAATACCTCCACAGCAACATGTAGCCTGGTGTCTATCTGAACACGGCAGCCTAGCCAATGGACACATAAAATTTACAACCAAAGATACCAGTGCCACGTGTGAAATGGAAATGCCTAGTCAGCTTTCAACTGTTTTTGAGAAAGGACTAGTGAACTAATTTTGCATGGGGTGCCTAGCCCCTAAATTTCTGTGTAGCCCTATCCCTGAAACACCTGGTCAACCCCTGCATATGATCAGGCCTCCAGGCTGCTGCTGATGGGCTACTCCCAGGCCAAACCTATGTGGCTCTATAATGGTAGTTATGGGGAACATTAAGCAAGCAAAAGTTTCGTGGGGACCACGTTAGGCAGTAGGCCACACACCCAACCAGTATTATCACTGCTGAACCTGCTAGGATGTCCTGATAAGAAGGTCTTTCCACCTTATAGCAACAGAATGAAGATCCAACTCCTCCTCCTCTATCATACTGCCCTAAACCACGTCAGGAGTGGTGAGAAAACTTAACTTTTAATGCCCCTTTTTGCCTATGAGGCTTCCCACCCACCTTTTATCTCCACTAAGTCTCTTGAGGAACCAAAAATGGCCTTAGTGCGTCCTTAGATTTGTATCCATACTCTGTGAAACGGTGCCTATGTAAAGGTCTAGTCATCTGGAGAAAGTACCTGCTTTACTCTCTCCAGGCACTAGAAAATTAATCTTTCAGCTGGTTTGAAAATTTGCTTAGGAACATTTTCCTCTAAAGAAGACTTATCCCCAAGTCTGCTATGTTAAACACATAAAGGTAAACCTTCTGTTATTTAAAACAGATGGTCCTCCCCTAGCCTCTCTTGGGTGCCTGTTTGTCCTACCTTAAGGGGCACCTGAAGGGGCTTCTCAAAACACAGTTTAAAGAGCATGATGGAATGGAAAGAGTTCTACATATCTAACCAGACAGATACACATACACATCAGGGAAGCAAGATTGTGTTGATGCAAAAGCATAACTAGAGATTGTAACTCCCAGCCCTTATATCTACCTCCTTGGGCAAGTAGTTAGCCTCTTTAGGCATCTAAAAATAGAATGATAATGCCTTCCTCAAATAAAAGTTGACAGGATTATGTGTAATAATAATGAATATTTTTAAAGTTCTACAACAGTTCAGTGTCACTTACTGTTAGGATGGTTTGGAAATCAAGGCCATTTCTGAGGGTAATGGGATATCCTTCAAGCTGGCCCCAAGGGCTAAGGAAGATTCGGTGTAAGCATCTGGGCTCATAAACCTTCTGAGAGGGGGAGCTTCCCAGGTCAGCCACTGCCTCCTGATTTGTTTGTCTGAAAAGAAACCACACTGAGCTCAATAAACCTGTCTGGGTTAGTTGACCCTCTGGCATATTTTGTTTCCATTTGAAGAAGCTGATCAACAGAAGGAGGTTAAGTAAGTTTAGGAAAAAAACAGATTACACAAATTTAAACAAATGACTTAATGGTAGGACTTATCAGAGCCTTAAAATGAATAATGAAACTCTAAAAGGGCTTTATAGTATGCAGCATTACAACCTTATTTAACAATGAGCATTTTTTAGTATTTTAGTTTTTGTTAGCAGAACCACTGTATCCTGTTATAACATTTTGTAGAATACCTTACATAATATAGTTTGGGGAATGATGCTTCAGAGATTCATAATACTGGGCTATTTTATTATTACCATTTATTAGAATGTCCTAGCATTTCTATCTACTGCTTATCCTTAATCCTGAAAGACTGTGGGAGATCCCCAGAATGCTTCAAGAGTACCATTAGAGAGCACCTTAAAGTGTTACCTCATTTTTCCCTAACTAAATTTAAAATGCCAGCTACAATTGTACTAGACTTGGAATTAAAGCTGGAATGTTTCAGTTAAAAAATGAACACACACACAGAAATTCAGGAATCAAGAAAGAATTTGAAAAGAGGCCTCTTGGCAAAAGGCGACTTCTGGAATAATAACTTTATGTTTCTCTTCAACAACAGTTCCTCAGCTTGGAGCGGTCCTCATTATGGGACTTTTCTGGAAATGATGCCTGTGTCTACACACGTCTTCTAGCTTTCTAAAGGATGCTTAAAGTCAGTCAAACAATCAGAGGTTTCCCCTGGCCTTTTAGGGGAGGTGCAGAACATTTTTTTCTTTTCAAATTCCTTTACACGTTAAACACAACCCTTGACATAGGTAATCTCACTTCCACCCAGCAAACCCCATCAGGGGGTGGTGACGCAGAGCCCTGAGAAAGCCACGTGTGCTGACACACTGACACTGGCAGCTCCCTGCAAGCAAATCCCAAACATTGCTCAGTCCATCAAATTTGTGTCAGGCTATTATTATCTTCCCAACAAGACCAGGATAGCTGTAACAAAAAGGTCTCTTATCTGACAACCCATCTCTTAATTTGGGAAAGGGCCATAATGATTGCCCCGTGGCAACTGCTTCACTCCTCCTAGTCCAGTAGTTCTCAAACCTGAGCCTGCATCAGAATCGCCTAAAGGACTTGCTGCACACAGACTGCTGGGCCGCATCCCCAGAGTCTCAGAGTCAGTGTCTACAGGGTGTTGGGATCAGTGTGCTAATAAGCTTCTCCCCACCCCTGACATAGCTAGTCTGGGGACAGCACTTCAATATATTGTCATTTCAGATGCATCATTTGACTGCCACAAAATAAAAACTGGTGCCTAGGCTAATGTAGACCCAATGCATAAGCTCTCTTCAGATGTGGAAATCTAACAAAAGAAGGGTTATAACACAATTTACCCACAGGCATATCACTTTCTAATAGTGATATAATTATCTTATTAGGAAAATGTATTATTAATTTGTTAATTTATCAAGAAAATATAAATATTTTGTTTAACC